AAAAAAAATACTCGGGCATAGCGTTAACGTAGTGCCGTAGTAGTACATCAATATCGTTCCAGCCGCTTATCGGTACGCTCGTCCGTTGCTACTGCGCCGTCCTCTACCCAACGTTATTCTTTTTCAAAGAATTTTTCGTTAATTATTACTGTCGATTTTGTTTCGATACTTCCATTTTAATACAATTAATTATTTTTCTCGTCACTTTTTTTTATTCACGCAGACGTGCGCTCAATCTTACGTCCAACGTCTTGGCAAAACCGCCGTAGTTACTGTGATAATAATTATCCCAAGACCGAAGAATTCGATTCGATTTCATTCGCTGGTCGTCCAGCTGCAGAATACATCACCGTACACGTGCTTGTTTGATGTTTGACAAGCGGCTGGTGTCTAACGTGCATCCGTTCATCCGGCGGATGAACATCGTCAAGACCAAAAATTTCGTTATTGCCGTGGCCGTCCGCTTGTACAAAGTGGTCACCAGCAAGATGGGTGTCAACGGTGCTGACAAACAGGTAATAACGGTAACGATAACAGCGGTAATGATAACGATAATAACGATGACTTCGACGATAGTAATGATAATTGATAATGATAAACGTGTTGTTACGGCGTTAGGTTTGAGAGTTTTAAGCGCCGAGGTGAATTTTGAGAACCTCCGGCTCTGAGTAGCGCGCCGGCGCGGCTACCGCCGTTTTGTTCTAATTCCAGCTCCGTATCCAAAGCATCCACGTCGCTCGTGCTTTTATTTATTTCCAGTTTCCGTGTTCGGATATACGTCAATTTTTTATTGACTGCTGCTCGTTTCGTTATTTTATTAACCGCACAACGAGAAAGAAAATCTTCAGATTTCCCACACCGGTAGTCGATGGATGCGTGTGAAAGTCTTGATTGATTCGTATTTATCATCATGCGAGATGATGACCTATTTTTATGTTGTAGCCGCACGGAAGTCGAAATATTACCTTTTGATTTAGTGTGATGCATAATTTATTATTTATTATGATATAATATACGAAATAATTTATTGTATCGTTTCGACATTCGATCGCTGTACGCTTAAAAGTAATTATCCAACAATTATTCTTCTGAATAATCGGAAAACTCAAGTCGTCATCGATCCGTCTAGGCAAGTTTAATTGAAATGTCGATAATAATTTATTTGATAGTTGACATTATTCATCGGTAATGTGTCATCCGTTTTATCATTTTTGAAATATACATATTTTATTGATCATATAATTTTAATGACGAAATCGCATTTAATATATTCGGCGTAGCGAAAAACGATGTTATACCTGAGTGTTACAATTTTACGAGTGTTGAATAGTGTTGATATTTGTAGCTTTTAGCTTTTGTAGCTCTCGTCAAATAAGAATTAATTAGCTCTACCTGCATAATGGCTACTTTATTCACCGAAAACTTCAATAAGGATTTGGTTGCCGTTTTCTATAAAATTGTATGCAAGCTATATGAATGWTACTTATAGATTGATACCTAATTGTAAAGAAAAGTAAAAACGCTTCAGAAAAAAATTTTCGCAGTAGTAAAATGATTTTCTTCGCTGTACTTGTAATTTTGATTATAAAATTAGTGGAGTAGATTTTGAATAGTTCGCATCTTTAAATAGTATCTAGATGATAATTGACACGCTTTAGGTTAGGATTACGGATGGGCCAACTAACCAAGAATATGCTATTATAGCTGAAATTATTTGAAAGATACATTTCAAAATAACTAAAGTTGGTAGAATAATTAAAATGTATTATAAAAATGTCGACGTTTAGCTGAAAAGCCTCTTAGGATTTCTAACTTTTTTTAATAAAAATAGTTCAAATCAAAAAAAGGGATTTTTCTATTTATATTATGTTGTATTAATGTATTATATTTAATATAGTATTTAACACAGAATATTTTTTTTTTCTAAGCATATTAATAAATATACCTATTTAATCAATAGTAATTTTTAAACCATAGAGAATGATATAATATATGASTGTTGGCACACCTTTTAAAATGTTAATATCTGTATAGATTATATAGAGGTGGTACATTATGTCTAATGTCTGGCAAGCCCTTCGTATTGTTAAATAGTAAAAACTAATTGCAAGGCYGTTGTACCTACTTTGAATAACTATTACCTAGGTCAACATAAAATTAATAGATGGTGTGCTTCCTTATAAATTTATTATAGTCATTCGAAAAATTGTTATTTGGTTGCGATATGCGTTTTAAACTTTTAAAGTTTAATTGTTTACAGTTTGTATTTTACGTAAAATTTTAATGTGTGAACAACATCAAAGCTATTTATCATAATATAACTTGTTATTGTCTGTTGGAAGATTTACATTATATGAGCAACAATATCATTAACGTATCTTATTATTTTTAAGTAAACAAACAACAAACATTTATTAACTGAACTGAACTGAAATAGAAGTGATTTTAGGCCATTTACCCACATTTTACTCGGTCAACATTTTTACTCCCAAGCATGTAATTTACTCAAATCTCGGTCTTTTTTAATACTTGTGTAAACTGAATACTGGTCTCGTTTAAAATTAAACAGTAATCCAGGATATATTATTTTTAATATTTTGTTTTTAAAGCAAGTTATAAGTGTTTTAAAATGAAAAAAATTATTATTTATTATTTATTAATATTATACTGTTGCTGTAAGCTTTGTAGAGCTTCCCGTAGTATACATAATACATATCTAATATGTTAAACGTGTATGACTATGTAGTATGTGTACATCAGGATACCTATAGTTAAGTATTGTCTCAAGCAATGATAAAATATTAATTTTTGTTAAATATACGAAGGTACTAAAATCTAACAGTCTATTTCGTGTTTCGTTATTTTATCATTTTGTTAGCGATAATTATTTTTGATTTAATAGGTATGCTAATAAAAAATATTTTTAATTTATCAATTGTATATTTTTTACACTCAATTCATAGGTCATGCAATAAAGTAAAAAGTAATTGTTTTTTCAATGTCCATCTCTAATTTACATCAACGATGATTACACAAATAAATTCGAAGATAAATTACTGTTTTAATAATTAAAAAAGGTATTATATTTTTACTTTGGACAAAGTAAATAAAATTGTTAATGGTACCTAAATGGCTAAATAACATTACTTTTTTCCTAATTATTGAGACCCTAGAGTTTCTTTTACTTAAGTTGTACAAACAATTATATATTGCCTAATACACAATTTTKTTCCATTCTCTCGTACTGAATGATTCTGTGAAAAAAAAATATATCATGCAACAAAAAAAAAAACGATTTTTCGTAATATTTGAGAACATATTTGTTGATTGCTTACACGAGTATTTACATTGTTATTATCATATAATTATCAATACTTGAGGGTTAAAATATCTAAAAAAAAAAAATGGATCATGAATTCAATGTACATATTATATAAAAAAAAAATTGTATTACATCATTTAAAACAGTAATTAATATTTATATATTTATATATAGGTACCTATAATTAATTATTCTACGATTGTATAGGTTTAGAAAGTAGAAAGTACTGAACCAGTTGACTCCAAATTGTGCACACATCTTCCTTGAGTTTCGGGTAGGTACTGTTCTTTAATTCGTTTTTCAACACCTATTGGCTATAGCTGTTATATAGAGCGACCACCAGTACAAAATAATAAGCAATGTCTGTATACTCGTATTTGTAGCTTTTAAACTCAAAAGCTTTTCTTTTTTTTCTTWTTTAATCACCATTTCAGTAGATTTGGTGAAAAAACCGTGAATTTATGTGTTCATATATTGACTCATGTGAGGTCATCATTTTGGATAGTGATATTTTCTTCTGATCGATTATTTGTCGTATGTTTTAAAAATTCTCCATTTGGACCAGACAAATTTGTTCGTTTAGGAAGATTGAAGTGGTTTTCGTCCGAAGTAGGGGATTGATACCATTRTTATGCAGGGTTCGTATAATAATGGAACTATGAAGAGGAGAGTTGGTGGTTGGTTGGACAACAGATGTATTAGCATGAAACGTTGAACCAAATATGCTCATTAGGTTTAATATTGTTGATTTCGTAAAARTTGTTACAGCTTTAGCACATTTCAACRGGTGCTAAAAATTWAAAGCCGGTAGTAGTGCTATGAATCTRTAGAATCATAACAGCTGGGTCATTAAAATAATCTGATAGGCATTCAACTATTTAAGATGTTGATAGATATAGGGTTTGGTGTAAATGAGTACTAGTTGATTTTGTAGAGGATTAAGGTATGTAGTGCTGATACCGGGACCTGTTGAATTAATTTCATAATTAATGTTATTACTTATTAGCATAGTTGTTGTTACTGCGCGAGTAATTATTGTCCGATGCCTTCGAAACGTTTATAGTGTCGATAGTGGAATTGGGTGAGGTAGTTTCATAGTAAAAACTTTGAATGTTTCTATCTATAGTGTTGGAAGAACGTCCAAAATTTATTTTGGATTTAGAGGAATAAGGCTAGATGGACTAGTGCAGGTAATAGAAGTTTTAGATTTTTAGGTATAATCTATTTTTTTACATTCTCAGTGGAGTCGATTTAATTTTGCTGATCGAAGGTATTGGCCTGTGTTACGGTCATCGTCGTCARATGACTCGGCATTAAAAGCGTATTAAAATAAAAATGATAAAATTTGAGCGGTGCACTGCTGATTAAAATAACTAAGCATGATCTTAATTGAGAAAAAAATTCATGTTAAGTATATAAATATTGAAGGTTAAAATATATGTCTCATAAATAATACATTTTTATTACATACTATGGGTCCTCGTATAATTATACTTATATATAAGTGTACTATACTGTGTTAGAATCTTGTAGTTACCTGTTTTATAATTACCAATGGTGAGCGAATAAAAAAAAATATGTTAATTTGGCCATATTTTGGTTATGAAAATGCTAACTTTGTGGAGACAAAAATATATTATACCTACATTGGTAGTCGTTATAAATTTATTTGATTTTTATGCTATTTAGATTCTGAACTGAGAATTTAATGTATTGATATCACAATGTGTGGGTTTTTTTGTGTCTGCACAACATTTTAAAGCATTAAACTTCAATCAATTCAATCTTCAATGTAATACTCTTTTGGCTACAAAGTAGAACATTTTGGTATTTAAAGGTTCTTGAAATCAAACATTTTCTTAATAATTGGAAAAAAATAAGAATCAATTAGAAAAACAAAAATATAAACGAAAATATTTTCGACAAAATAGATAATTATTAGTAAATTCTTGTTGTAATTCAAAAGTGAATAAACATATATAAACGTATATTTGAAATTTTCGCCAAATGTCTAATCGCTATGATTATTGATCGTGCAAAGAAATAATGAGACTATTGTTTATACCTATTCAATAATAATTATTTTTTTGATATTTAAATTGAATACACTTTTTAAATTACTCTAGCTAGTAATACTGTATAGGTATTACGCCTTCGAGCCCAATGACTTTCTAATGTTGCCTGCTGGTCCACAAACCAAATTGAAAATTGTTTCTTGAAAATACATGGTTTTAATTTAATTCCTTTTACTCGCTTGCAGTGCCTTTAATCATATGAAGAGTAAAGTTGTAATTATCATGATATTTTAATTTTAATGATTTTAACTAATACCTATTGTATTATATAAATCAAAATTGAAATTGAAATTTATTATTATTATTTTTTTTTTTAAATAACATACAAGTACATCTAACTAAAGTGCTGTATTAAAATATATAGGTACAACAACAACATATATAGTTACATAATGTCGGCATACGTATACACAGTTTGTTTAGTCATTCATAAATATGTATTCATTGCATTATTGCACATTTGACATATTGTATTAAACATTTTGTAACTGTATAATATTGGTATATTAGTACACTGCGCGCCGCAGAACCTATTTATTTATTTTAAACACAAACATATAGAACATAAAAGTGTTTAAATTTTAACGATTGATCTAAAAAATTGTTTAGTCACTTGACGATGTTTGTTATATATATGATATGTATATGTTCATACATCAAACATTTTGAAATAAATTCAAAATTGAAAATTTAGAAATTCTCCAATATGTTTTTCATTTTATTCRTTTTATCTTTGGCTTTTATATAAATTGTAATATAAACAGTTAAATGATAATATAGATATCATTTTTATAAATGTYAATGTTTCTGAATAATTTAAATTTTTTTTAAATATGGATGACTTCATTTTGTATTCGGCAATGTGTTGCTATATTCTTTATAAACGATTTATTTGTATTTATCATTTAAACATAAAAGTTATTTCGGACAGTAAAAAGCTAGATAATCCAGTTTGACAATTAGTTGGAAATTATGCRCTAATTATTATTGACTTAATATTTTTCATCAATATGATAAATTATTTAAAACACTGATCAGTATGCATTCAGTGATAATTATTATTGTTTCTTAAAATGAATGAATTCAACATTGTACGATAAAATGTTTACTTTAATATAAAATTATATTATATATATTTTTAAACTGGTATTGAATATGTACGCAGTATACCTAAGGACAAAAATAAATAATTTTAAATTCAGTTTTCATGATGTTTTTTGGCTTTCGTGCTATAATATTATAATAGGTACAAATAGTTTTGTTTGTTGTGAACACACCGTTAAATAGCCTTTGAACCGTTTTTAACATCTTAGTTTCAACCTTAAAATCACATCCTGCATAATTTTACTGAGTTGATATTATCTTATATTTAGTTACAATATTTAATTAAACCAAACATACACTTTTATGTACTTACCTGTTGGCTGTTTTATAGGTATTTACATTTTTCTATAAATATAATATACTAATTACGAAGTATTATATTTTTTTTAGGGTCTTGCCCAATACAACGATATGTTTGAAATGGCGACCAGACTTTGCAGGAGTTACTTACCCGGATCCTGGAAGAAGATAACATCTAAGGATATATCCGTGAAACGTATTAGGTAACTATTTTTGTCTATCATAAATATGAGGTTAGGCATTTACACTTAATAATTTAATTGGCTAAAGTGAAATAAATACTAGATAATATATTTTTGTTTGTATTGGACCGATTTACATTAAGCTAGATTTGAAAGTTATAAACATCCAAGAATTAAGTTTAATTTTAAACAGCGTGTGAACCACTCAATGAAAAAGAAAAACGAAATATCACTTAAACACTCGTTATATAACATTGATTGAGGTATACATTTGATATATAAACGTTTAATAAACTAGGTAGTAATAATATGTGTACACTTACCTTAATTTTAAAAATATTTAAAATTCATATTTTCCGTAAAAATTGAATAGAAATTATTATTTATAAAAATTTAATAATTATATCTAAAAAAATAATGCTAAGATCCTATTAATTTATTAGTTGCAMAAATACTTCAAATTCATTATTAACAAAAAATATATAAATATGCATATATACGTATTTTTGTTTTTCTTACGTTTTAATTTTATTGATTATACATTATATTTATAGTTTATACATATTTAATATAGTTRATACCTACTAATTACTATTACATTAATATTTTAGAGATTTATCCTATTTAATATTTTTTTTTTATAACAATGATATTATTATTAATGTACATAAMATTGTTTAAGTATAAAAAATACATTCATTGTTATATTATGATTTCAAAAATTTTAAAMATTTTTTTTTTATAACCTTATGTACTCGAGTAGATTAATCTAGTAAACAAAATTAAAACTTTGTCCTGTTAGCTGCAGTTATATTTTACGATTTGTTTTGTATTTATTTTCCTCCCTAGCTATTAGCAATTTTATGTATTTTTAAATTATTATGAATCTCGTTTAAAAAGTGAAAATAATAAGGTAATATCGTTATATTTTTTAATACCATATTGCTCATTCTGAAGCAAATATTCAGTTAAAATAATATGGTCGTAATATTTTGTTGAATTCATTGTATACTCCTATAGTAGTTCAAACTAAAAWCGTTGCTTAGTGACTTTATGGGGGAGGGGCTGAATTCGTGCAGGTTATTGTGGCGCAGTATTATTTAACCGGTGGTGGTGGGATTTTAGGAGGTTTCATTCCTCAGTCACGTGTTAGTTTAGTATTATATACATATATATGTATATACGCATAATATTGATTCACAGGAGACGACGGTTTTTTGAGACGCAATAATAGAGGACGCGTGTACTACGAAGTCGACCCCATTTTACACGTATTTGGCGTTTAGCTATTGCCTATTAGGTGTCAGATGAAAAACAAATACTGTGCATATTTAATTTATTATTTGTTTTTTTGTTTCGTCAAAAATCGATAAACGATAAATTATAATTTCGTAACAAGCCGCGTAAGATGTACGTGTAAATTGACACTTGTCGACATTTTATTTGGTACATTCTTTTCACATTAGTCGTTGAATATAGATACTTGAATAATATTGTAATATAAGCGATAAGCCATGTTTATGTGATTCACTTTTGCAGGTGATGATTTTGTTTAAAACCAGAGTCATTCATAGTAAATAAAAGCTGAACGCTACCAATCTTCGTTCATTGTTCAATTTAAATGATAACTTTTTGTTGATTTCATGTTAGTTCACGATAACACTGTTAATTTTTCATTTACTGCGTGGTCTGTGGACTATGTGTGATTCATTTCAAATAATTATCAAAAGTAAATTGTGTAAATGTGGCTATTATATGTTTTTTTGTAACTTAAACCCGATATATATATATATATTGTTGATTATTGATCAACATTAATGCTCGTAAATACGATGACTAAAAGTCATCAATGATGAGTGATGACTGATGACTATACAATATTCACTGATGAAATTAATGTAAAAATATTCCGAATTTTTAAAATTGATCTAGGTACTTGCTTAGTTTTGCACTGAAGAAAAACGATATTCATTTACAGACGTATAGTGTATACATGARGTGAATGTTTTTTATATACTTTATAGGTATTTAGTTATATAACAAGGTCATTTATATTATTAGGTAGGTTGTGTACCTAGACTGTAATATTTATTTAAAACAAATTTTTATGAATTATTTATTTTACATACAGTGCAATTAATTATAAAATTAAAATTATATAATAAAAGTAACATAATATGATTAAGTTGTGTAGTTGATGAATAAAAATACAAAAAAAGTCAGAAAAATGAAATAATATCATTATAAAATATTTTGTCTGACTTTCAAGTTGTAAAATCCTTTTTTTATTCTATGTTTYATTTCTTAACTATTCTCAGATATTCGGGATTTCTTTTAGGAAGCAAAATCTGACATTTTTAATACAATAGCATATTAAATAATAAATAACTCAGAATTTGTATCGCCTGCTTCTAATTCCGTGGATGGTTGATCAGTCATTATAGATCTGTATATTGAATATTCTGTATATTATTATAGGTGATTAAACAATAGTAAAATCATTTATGACATAAATATTCCATGGCCAAATCTAAACGTGTATTCACCTTCAAATATCCATAATATTAAAATTTTAAAAATTAACTTAACTTCAAGCGTAGGTAMAATTAGCTGTGACAGTTGCATAAAGATCGTATATTTTATATCTATTTTCAACAATAGTTTATGCGTTCTAATGTTTTCGTAGTTTTAAATTATTTAAATGATAACTGAATTAGTAAGKTATAACCGAGACCTTTTTTTATTTTGCAGTGGTGGATTGAGTAATTGGCTGTATCAGGTTACATTACTTAAAGGTAATGCTGATCCTCGCGATGTGTTGATGAGGTTATATGGCCAAACGCACGGCGAGAATGCTATTGAAAATATAATCACCGAGTCTGTGATATTCACATTGTTGTCGGAGCGTGGTTTAGGGCCTAAGTTGCATGGAATATTTCCTGGAGGCCGTCTTGAAGAATACATTCCGGTAAGCTCGTTCACCTTCAATAACGCATTTTGTAGTCATCATATAATTTTGTTTAATTGAACTAGTTAATTTAATTTAATGTGGGTTAATTATTTATTTGCCATGAAAAAAAAAATAATAATGCCAATTAAACGTTTAAACAATTAATATCAACTAATAAATTACGGATAGGTTTATTTTTCAAATAAAAAAACTGTTATGTTTTACATTTAAACTTTATAACATTMTCTTAATGTTTAAATTGCAATTACCTATACYCAATATAATAATTAGGGCCCGGAATTATATGCTTTTAAAATATGCAAAAATATCTTAATAAAAATGCTTGTTTTTTAAATTTATTTAGTTTAAAAATGTATATAATTCATTAAATGATTAATATGGAACAACAAATGTATTAAATGCTTAGTTGGAAAAATGTAATTTTATTTTATAATGTATTCAACAGTATGTTGCATTTTGAACATTCACTCATTTAAATACAAAGTTATGAACAAAAATCAATTAAAACAAATTTAGTATTTTTTATAATATTTCAAAGTTACCTGGAGAATTATAGTTAACTACTAAAGACTTGGATACATCACACATGTTCAAATAAWAATRCACGTCGGTTTTCAGCAAATATCGGAGCATCCTTAAAGTATACTTACCAAGCAACGGCATGTACRATTTTTCTTTCCACATTCGCGGGRTTTRCATAGAACATAGCGTTAAGTATTAACATTAATAACTTACTTAATACTATTTTTTTCGTAAATATATGCAAAAAATGCAATACCTATTAAATTTTGMGTACCAACTCATTAGGTTAAGATTCAAATTTGTGTTTTAAATATTTATTTTTTAATTTAATAAATAAAAATATGCAAACGYATATAATTCCAGGTCCTACTAATAAGTATAATAAATAAATGTGTATAAAATATTAATAATATACATATAAAAAAAACATATACACRAATATTTTTATGTAATATTAAATATTTTTATTTTTACTTATGAATTATCAGATTTGCCATTCTTAGTGTAAAGKTTAGGTATCAGTCAAGTCCTATTTCTCAATTTACTATAAACAAAAACTAACCGAATAAATTAAATTTACACATAAGATATTGGATRTAGTAAATAAGAATAACCCGTAAATGAAATAATTGAATAACAAACATTTTTAAAAACAATATTCAAAACATAAAAGGTAAATAAAAATAAAATAATTTTTATCTTAATTAACTGTGTTAGCTACAGTTCATGCTTACTTTTGCTTATCTAGACGTAGGTGTACATTTAAATGTATTTTTTATAATATAATATGAATAACTTTTCGCATTTTTCAGCTTTGTTAAAATTTCTATAGAAAATATTAAAATGAAAATTTAATTTTAACTTTTGAACTGATGCACGTTACATTTATTTATTTTTTTCACCAACGCTTATTTTTTTCATTTAAATTTATCAATGGTATATAAATATAAAATAATTCATTTTTTAAAATGGTTATTAATTATTTTAGTTATAAAACAAAAAGCTTTGTAAAGTTGATTTAATGTATTTTGCAACCTATAAGATTAAAATCATTTATACATMATTTACTTCTTAATAACCTAACCTTTGAATCGTCTAATGTTACTGAATACTGAGATAAATTTTAAATGATAGTTATTTATTTTTTTTTGTGGCTACTTGCCATTTGGCTATAGATATAAATAAAATATTTCATTCAATGTAGGCTATTTAAAAATTTAGGCCCACTGCTGTCATTTTACCAGTAATCGTCCTTGGGTTTTAAATGAAAAAAAATGCAAATAAACCTATATATATATATATCAACATACTTGAATGACGTTGGCATAACATATTCTAACGGCTTTTGGATATGTTGCTATTGTTCCAAAAGTCGAGCATAAATTTCAGACTCATGGGTCAAGTCCAACAGTWTACAATCTATGATGATAGTCATAGCTGATCAGTAAGTTGAGCTTTGAGTACATTAAGCACTTGATAGGAATATTTAGATACATTAACTCTACTATATAAGATATGTTTTAATGTATTTTTGTCCTAGATTTAGAACAAGTACACAAATTAATAAAACGTCCAATACTTCATTCAGAAGTCAACTATTGTTAAAAACGACATTCGTTTGGAATAAAATTATAATGTAATGTAAATTATATAAATCRTATGTTTATGAAATCTTACAGGCTCGGTCAATGAAATCTGAAGAGTTAAGCGATCCAAAATTAAGCCTTATGATTGCAGAAAAAATGGCTGAATTACATCAGCTCAACATTCCAATCAATAAAGAYTCTACATGGTTATGGGATACCATGGATAGATGGTTACAACAGCCAATTAAAGATGTTAATTGGTTAAGTGAAAACATGGAGCTCGGTCAGATACTATCTACAAATCTCAGCGATGAAACTCGTTGGCTTAAGTATGGATATAATCCATATTTTATTAATCTTCAAATGTATGTAGAAAATAATCAAATCATGGTTACTCTTTCAATTCTAGAAAACACTTGTCTAAGCTGAGGTCACCTGTTGTATTCTGCCACAATGATCTGCAAGAGGGTAATATTTTAATGAAGGAAAATGACCCCTCTGGATGTCGATCATTATGCCTTATTGACTATGAATACTGTGCCTACAATTATCGTGGTTTTGATATAGCTAACCACTTTGTAGAATGGACTTATGATTACACAAATCCCATTTATCCACATTACACAGTTAACCGAGAATTGTTTCCAACAAAAGACCAACAAGTAAACAGTGATTTATAAATATAGATTTATTAACCGATTTTTATTTATTTACTATTAATTATTTTAGATTGAGTTCTTGAAGCGATATTCTCATTGTATGGAAAATGAAGAATCAATAGAATTGATACTAAATGAAGTAAATCACTTTATTTTGGCATCACATTTGTTTTGGGGTATATGGAGTATTGTCAATAGTCGAATGTCAAAAATTACGTTTGGATACAGGGTAAATATTTATGCTTGTGTTTTTCTTTCAATTTGCCCTTTTAAAAATAAATGGATTCATTTAATGATTTACAAGTTACAACCATTTAAACTTGCCTGAATTTTKATGAATTGTTTATTTTTATTTTTCATCAAAATCTTAACATATTTTTTTCTTATTTCTAATGTTTTACCATAACACTTGCTTATTTTTGAAATTTTTTTAGGAATATGCAATGGAACGACTCAAATCATATTTTAAGCTCAAAGAAAGTTTAATAAATAATAAATAGCATGTAACACAGAAATACTTTGAGTACTTATGAAAGAAATAGGTTAATCGTAGACAAATATGTTTCAATATTCTGGTGAAGACTGATTTATATTTCAAAAGTTTGGTCCTTAATTTTATTTGTCTAATTATTTTGTCATGTTCACTCACATAATTTTTATTTAATTGTTCTTAAACTTGTTATGAGCTTCTTTTATACACCAATGTTATATTAAAAAATATAATAATAGTTTTTATTTTTGACTAATAATTAAGACCAGTATCTATTGATTTTCATATTGTTCAACATATTTTGTAAAATTAATGAAAACCAATTGTTCTTTATTCTGGTGCTAAGTACTCATATTCTGATAAATAGTAATCATTATACATTTGTGAAGTTACAAATTGTATAATGTGAAGAAAAAAAACTAAATTATAAGTTGTGCAATAATTATTATTATTATATCAAGAACATGTTCATTATTGTACTTAAACAAATTTAAATATTATAACTATGAAGTCCATCCTGTACTTTTTATATATTGCTATCGTGTGTCCTATTAGCTGTTATTATATGTAATTTAAATGTGATTTACTTTTTTTTTTTTTTTAACTAAAAGGCTTTTTACTGTGTATTTATGTCTGTTTAGATCTTTAGGAATTTTCTGTTTCATTTTGATTGGGTACATTATCCTGTAGTATTTATTTGTTAGTAGTCATTTTTTGTGATGGTTTATTATCTAACTTATTAATGAGAGAGAACCAAATATTATGTTATTTTTAAGGAATAATGAATGGCTTTGTAAATTATTATTAAGGATATTAAATTTGATTATACCTATACAAAAAAGTACAAAAAAATTGATGTATAAATTGTATACATATACATTGTACATTGTATGATATAATTACATACATATATTTATAGCATAAGATAGTAAGACACATACATATCAAAATTATAAATTTTTGTGATTTAATAAAATTTAAAATTATTACATTTTTGCAAAATGAATCTATTTATCTGATATTGGACTATTGCACTTGTTGKTTAGGAAAATTTACACAATTGTTAAACAAATTATTTTTTTAGCACACACAAGAGTAGATTATTAAATGTACAAGTTTATATTAAAATATGACATTTGTTGACTTTTGTCATTAATTTTCTATTACACATTATTCAATGATCGCACTATTTTTCATCAAATCATATTTAATTAACTGCAATAAAATATAAAACTATTTGTATATTTTTGAATCATAAACATCAATTTTATTTTATCAAGAAAATAAGATATTTGTCGGGCTTACACATRTTTTTATAATTTCATTATTATTGTTTTATTACACAAGATTATAGATATTAAAATTAAATTAAAAATATCTTTGTAATTATCTAAATTAACATAATATTACAAAATTTGGGTTGTTGGGCTGATATTAGTTTTTGTTTTCCTCATTTTATTTGTTCCTCAGTTAATATTATTGTTTATTGTAATTGGTCACACTTTTTTTCTATGGTTTTTCCGTGGTTGAACTAAACTTAGTTAGCTTACTATTATTCTACAGTTTATACATTTTTTATGTTTTAATCTTTATTATTATAAGTAAAAACTATAGTTTTTTTTTTTTTATTATATAATATAAATATATTATACTATGTTTAAATTTAAGTTTTAATTAAACATTCTTGTATATTTGAAAATTATTGTCATACATTTTTTATAATCTTAATTCAATATTATTCTAATTCTGAAATCCAAAATTATTCAAACAAAGCATATCRTATTTATAATTTGTACTATAAATTATCATTTACTTTAATAGTTCATAGTACATAGCTATATATGTGTTAGATGTTTAAAACATAATATCCTACAACATAATATATGGGAATTACATGTTATCTAATTTAAAAATGTGATTATTGCATTAACACTAATCACTATTGTGGTTAAGAAATTATTAGGTCCCTTTATTATGGTCCTATTAATAGTTTTAGTTGCTATTGATAAATCTACTGATGGTCATAAAAYAGATGTAAAAGTACTAAAAATACAGACTTCTTTACTAACTATAGAACTTTATATAGAAGTCTGTGACTAAAAATAACAAATTATAATAATTTGAAATTGATTACCTACTTGCTTGAAAAATTAATAAAAACTTAAAATTAGTAGTGACTTATGTAAACATTAGTAAAAAAGCAGATCCAACTATTAAGTGTTAGCTTAATGATTTCCTTAGATCAATTTTYAAACCAGAGATTATCATATTCAGTTCAAAATACATTCAATATCAGTATGTTGTATTATTATAAAAATTAAATTTAAAATTAACTTAAATTATTGGTGATTTTATTGCTATAGATAAATGTTATGTTCATATTAGGTATTATAATTTATAAACTAAACATAAAATTATTAATGTATAAACAAAGTTATTATAAATKTATGGTAGAGTTTTCTATCACTCTTCTACAGTTTTTGAAGTTCTACAGATGGGTATGTCTCCCTTGACCCCACTCCAAAAAAATTTTTTGTTTGACAAAACAATGTCACACATTCATTATTCTGATTATGTATTTGGCGGCACATGAAGGTAAGAATGTATATAGATTATAAACGTGTCGTCTATATTTTATTTACACTTTCCCAGAAGGAATATACAATTAGTTATTCAATATTTAAACTCTATACCGATACACTTCTCTAGMTTTTACCAAGAATAATTATTTTTATTTTATTGTTTATAATTGTTCATACTCATTTTCTAGTCTTCATACAATATCCTACAGGCTATAGAATATTATAGGTATTATAAGTTTGTAAGATTCAAGTTTTTACTAACAAACCTTTAAATTGCCTATAATAAAACTCCTTAAAAAACATTCTGTTAGGTAGTCTGATGTACACAAAATAGGTACATAATATTACAATGCGACTATAACGGAACGATATTCATTATTTTAGTTTAGCAACCTATAGATTTTTTGAAAACGTGTGTTTTTGCATGCTTTGTAAGAATATAAAAACAAGTGAGAGAAACTTCGTTTTAAAGTTAGGTATCGGAAAAAACCGACCGGTAGTGACTAGTGACTACGCGTGTTTTGGCACTCATCAATACGCTCCWCGGCGCCGTCGCTCCGCAAATCTAAAATATMACTCGACTTGTTATGCAAAACCACATATAAAATAGGTAACAGGAACATATGAAATGTATAAATAGGTGAAAAATTTAATTGAAAATGTCTAAAAACGTTGCACATATGGCATATTGCATATATGATATAGGCATATGTTGCATGTATAGCATTCATTTACGACGCCGTGTAAAATGATTGCCGAGCGTAAAATAAACGTAACGGAAAAACTGTACTTTTTGAAGTTTGTTTGAAGTTTTTTAATTTTTTTGTCGGAGAACCGCGGCAACATGGGCCATTGGGTGTCGGGTGGTGACTGGTGAAATTTTTTATTACATTTTTACAAAACATGATTTAAAACAAACACTATATAAAACAAACAAAAATCGACAGGTTGCAAAACTARAATTATGCCCTATTCATTGGTTACACACTTACACTACCCAAAACGGCATGTCGGCATAACTGCATAAGAAATATATTTTATGTAAAATCAATAAATATTCTCAACTTAATGTGTTATTCACAACAATAATTATAGTTTATTAAATTACTTTAATATTCGCTATTCCCCATTTAACTGAATGGCGAATGTCAATAAATTAATAATTAATAATAATTAATACTAAAAATTCTGAAAAATTTTAGGAAAGCAAAAGTCCATTTATTAATTATGCCTATGGTTCTAAATTTGGTATGATTCCGTGTGTCTTCGAGAGAGAAAAACAAATAGTATGCTGATGACATCTTAATCGTTAAGTTAACATTATACATTTTTAAGTTATATTATATAAACAATAAAAATATTAATTTAATTTAAGCAAACGTATAATATTGTATAGTCTGTATACACTGTGATTTATAATATATTTAAAATTTATATGGCGCTCCTGAAGGCTGAGTATTTCGGCGTTCTAGGCAATTCCACACATGTAAGATAGGTAATGTATCCATTTTCTATATAACCAAAAAAAAAAAAAAACGTTATTTGGTCATGTGAACGTGGCAATGTAAATTTTTAAATTGTGTAGGTGATACGTGGATATAAAAAGGTTGAAAACCGCTAGCTGGTATAGATATCGATTATCGATATGCTACCTATATATTATATTATATAGTTCATTAATTTACGCTCTGAAATAGATACCTAGATGGTAAGTGGTAACAGTTTCTGCAGTTAATCTTAGCCAACTTAAACAACAAAACTCGATGCTGGTCGACAAATAATTTGAAATTAGAATTTCCATGAATTTGTTGGTTTTTAGAGTTTTGATCTTATTTTGATTTACCATCATCGTCCAGGCCTCCAGGGTCTTAGAATTTAAACTGTTTACAATACATAGTATTAAATATACGTACCAGTTATGTGTATCTTTTCTTCACAACTAATTACGGTAGATTTTGGTTATTTTTCAAGTTTCAATTGCAAATTCTAAAGAGAAAATAACATGAAAGAATCACGATTATTATTTTCATAATTCAGGATAATATGATCGATGATTATTGATTAGGCTACGTTTGATTGTTTGAATCACATGATTAATAGATTTGAAATTAAATACGTGCAGGCAATGTAGTAGGTACCTATTTCGAATAATAACTGATATGTACCTATACTATACCTACCTACATACTAAAATTACATTTTTAGTTAAATATTTAATGTAATTTAATATTTATTATTGTGGTGTTTGGTGTTAATCATTAATTRTTACAGTTATATATTCATTTATTTGAATTAGATAGGATTAACTCAAATAAGAACCCAATTATATGTATAATATTGCTGATAGTGATTAATTTATTATACCTACATTATAATATTGTAATATTGTAATATTATTATATTAGTATACTATAGTATAAAGTAAGTACTTAATTGAAAATCAACAATTAACTTATAAATTACGATTTGTATACAAGTACAATATTATATATATTGGTATTTTACTAGGYTATTGACTATAAATTTATTTTTTTCCGAAGAAAAGCATCATTATTATAGTATTATAATTAAAAGTATCTAAAATAAAATTGTTTTTAGTTTTTTAAATATTTTATTAGAAAATTCATTTTTCTTAGAATTCTAAGAATTAATTAAATTTTAAATTAATATAATAAGTAATTAGTACAAGTTGATTGGGGACAATTAACGTATGGTCGAAAAGACGTTACCAAATGATCTCGTTCTTTAGTCTACCATAGAACAATACATCGATAATGTTTTAAACCACAATTCGAATATACCGCAACTCCGGTAAGCACTGGCTGTTATCTTTTTAGTACTTTTTCGCTATGTATTCCTGATTAGGAGTTGGTAATATATTTTAATACTTTGTTTTTTTACATTGGTTCATCGTTGATTGTTTTCGAGTTATGTGTTGTATTTTCATTTTTCAACGGTTAATTCGTCGTTCGTCTATATTGAGTTACATTGAACATTTAGAATTAGTTTAAGGTCCGTTTATCTTCGCCATTGTAGAAAACAAAGACTACAGCGGGCGTGTATGGCTTTAGCCGCCGTACAGACGTCTCCGACTATAGGGACTTTGCAACAGAATTCGGTGAGTACCTTACATTATGCGTGTATATAATAGTTCAAAATGATATTTTATACACAATAAGGTGACCAATATAATATATATTGTTTGTAAAAAATAACTTTGAATGAGTGTATTTTTTTCTGTTTTGGCATTATAAGTTTGCAGCTAAACAATATTTAGGAAAATTGATTTTTATGTTCATGAACTTTTCATTATTTTCTGTTTAAGTTTTGAATTATTTATTGTTTTGATTTAGCATATTATTAAAAATTATTAGAAATAAATTTATTGCCCATGTTGTGAGCATTTATCTATTTTTTTAAAAATTTACGTGATCTCCTCCACAACTTTATTTATATTCTATAAATACAATATACATTTTTTACAAATATCATGGATTATATATATAAGTGTTTTATTATAAAAAAAAACWTAGTGTAATTTATTAATAATTATGTATAAACAAGGAAATCATTATTTGATATTATWCATTACATCTTGTTATAAGTTATGTGTTAAGTTTTTATTCTAATATAATTCTACTGGTAATATTTTTTATATTCGAGTACCTTTATTGAGGATTTCTTATCATCATTTTTCAATTTTTTGAGTTTTATGTATTATAACTTATTTGTAGCATCAATAGTTATAATAAAATCAGTATTTAAATATACAAATAATTAGTAAAGGATATAAAAATGTACTTCAAATGTGCATTTATGATTACTATGTAATTTAGAAAAATTGTGAGGGGGCACAATGAACATTTTCTTTAAAAAAGTATGATTCTGGATCGTTGAATTATTTTTTTTTATACATAAACTACATTAAAGTATTAAATAAGTATGAATATTGGTATCTATTTATATATATATATATATATAAATATATATATATAGATTATTATATTTTGGTTCGTAAAATATGATATTGTTTATTATGTAAGTACATTTTAAAGTAATTACACATTGTTAAATAAAAAAGAAATTAAATGAGAATTATAGTGTAACAGGTTACAGGTATGTAAACAAAGTTGACCTAGATTAATTAAATAACTAGAATTTATTCAKTGTAACTGATTTGGTGGGTATTTTGTTGTAATTATAATATGTTAATTCTCAGTTAATGTTTTGTTGTAAATATTCAAGAAATAAAAAAATACAGTAAGGTACGATTAATATGTATTCACATCTTTTTTGTATTTTATACAAATGTAATGTATAAATTGGGGATAAATATTGCATTTTTTATTTTTTTGGTTATAATTTATAAGTTATAATGTTYTGAATATTTATTATCTATCAGCATATTTTATTTCTGTTATATTTTTATAATTCGTTTAATTATACATTTTATTAATAGGAATTTAACTCAAACCACTAATTTTGATTTTAATATTATATGGCATATAAACYAATATAAACTATTTATTATACATAATATAGTATTATTAAAATATAACGTCTTATTATCAAAATTTATTTTGGTGTGTTTATGTTGAGTTGAATGTTGATCATAACTATAGTTACCATAATTTATACTACAGCTATAATTTCATCAAAATGTTCAAGTTATTAAAATTCAACATAATGCTGTTTCATATATTGTATTATGTTCTATAGAACAGGAAGTATACTAAAAGGGTGTGTAGTTTTGATACACTTAGGTCTGTACGCCTTCCCCTGATTGGTCCAGTTATGGAGTTTTCTTTAAATTCATTAATATTAGACTTAGTAAGGATTGTGTTTCTTTTAAATGGTAGATACCATCTTGATTTTATAAACTTAATTCAGAATTGAACTTGTTAGCGTGTTTGGAATATTAATGTGCAAAATCAGTATATAATATTAATTTATTCCTTCATTTGTATTCTCTAAGCTTCAGAAAACTGGAATTTGTTATATGATATGGAAATTGATATCTTTTCACAGAACAATAAAATGTTAAGGCTATATTAAAGAATTAACTCAATAGGTATTATATTTTGCTAGTTAAAAAATATATATTTACTTATATTAAGAAATTGATTTGTTTTTATAGAACATTTTCACTTACTTCGTAACTAATATATTTTTAACACTTAACCTTATGACTATTTGGGTGAGCTCACTAAGCTCTATGACAAATTAATTCCTATTTATACTTATATTTATAATTCAGATACCCAAGTATGAAAGAATATTATATTCAAATTTCCTCAGTCAACATAATTTTTCCAAACATAAATGTATTTTATTTCTTTTTACTCTATAGTTAAGATTTGTGACTAGCATTTTGCATTATCATTCATCTTTGTTTCCTTAGTAAGTTTTAAAATWTTTTTTGTAGTTTCTGTAGGTAGTTCTTAGTTTGTAGGTACATAACATAGGTTTCTATATTATCAGTGGCGCCAAATTAAAATAAAATTATGAGGGGGGGCAAAAATTATTTCTCATTACCCATCATCGTTTGGCGTTTGCCCCATACACTCGTACAAACCTTTTATATTTTTGTTGACTATACATACTTATTCTATAAAGGCAGTACTATAATTTATAATTTTTTGGGTAGGTATCTACAGACTTCTGCCAACCGAATAAAGGTGGCTCAGTCGCCCCTTTTGAGTTATAGGTTCGGTACTACTGTATATTATAGCTCAGTATTTTATCTTACAGTAACATTAAAACAAATAAACTTGGTTTTATTATTTTTATTTCAAATACTTATTACTTGGTGATTATCTTTTTTTTATGTATTTCATACAAGTATAAGGTCTATGATTACATAGTGAATTCAGTATTTACCTATAGTTCGCAGCTAACACGTTTCATGCGTGTCTACTGTCTATTGTTGTCAGTGCTATATTTTTTTAAATTGAATGCTTAAAAATAATTTCACTCGACTTACTTTAAAGATTATTCCTTAATCCTTGTTACTGTTATTTTTCTTTGTTTTGTTAAAAAAATCGATTCATTTGTTGGCTCTTCCCCCCCCAGCTTCAATATGGCCAATTTTCCGGATTAAAATCACGTGGTCGTGGCGATGATCGCGACTGCCATTTAAGATAATGGAGACCCGAGACGAGACCACAATTTAATTATAATAAAATAAATTGCGCGTTAACGCATATAGGTTTCCCGGCCAAATTAAACAATAAAAACAATGATAAGTTTTGAGGCTTCCCACCTGGGAAAACATTAAAATATATCGTTCAGGTCTCACTATCGGACAATAATCGTAATATCGTCTCGATTTCCGCGTAGCGCGCGCCTCGTGTTAACGACAAAGCATGATGTTTGGTGGTGGTGGAAGCAGTGTCGGCCTCGTCCAGCTGAACTCGCGGGCCCGTAGTGTGTCGTCGCCGGCGCGTCAGTCAGTCGTCTGCGTGACTGCTGTTGTGTTTACATAGCGTCTGTTAGCCGCTCTCAAACGCTTTAGCACGTGTGATCGCGGTGTGCGCGTGTGATAAATCGTGTGCGGATTTGATCGTTTTTCGAATTGTTCATCGTAAACGCATTTGACCTCTTGTCTTGTGTAGTCGTTTTCCGATCGAATTTCTTTAGGCAATAAATCCGTTCGCCGCGATGARTCCGTCGTCGTCGTCCCGGATTCTCGCCTCAGCTGGTAGCTTTCAGAACGGGTATTGAGTTCGTGATCGTGCGGCRTATTGTTATTATATTATATACGTATCGTACTTTACGAATATTTGCGGCTGTTGTACTGCGTTAAGCGTTAGTTTTGGGTGTACACTGTGCTATGATGTTGTACGTCTTGCCGCCACCGTCAACCGCCAGTCCACCGTCCCCATGGTCCACAATATTATGCGACGATGGCCGGCCGTCGTCGGTACGTGGCAGTTTTGGTGGCCAGCAAGATCCGGCGGCGGCCAGCGGTGGTCGGCTGACGTACAGACGGAATGCCAGCAACAACAGGCGGGTCAAAGCGTGGCTGAACGCCGTCCAAAAGAACAACCGTCCGCCTCCATCTAGGAAACCTTCGGTGGACGCTGCTGGGCCCGAGGTACGTTTGACATTTTGGATGGTTTAGTGCTTCTGGGGGGAGGGGGGGGGCTTGAACATTGTATCATGTCCAACCGACACTAAATAAATGTAATATGTATTATTGATGGATTATCGCAAATAATTTCAAGTATAAATAAACGTAGTATATAAAATATACACCTACATTCAAAGATAGAGTCTAACACTTTTATTTAATTATATTAAAAAGTGTAATATTATAAAGTACATCAAGATGCCGTTTACGATCCATTTGSATAGTTTKGATCGCGATGGTTTTTTATCGTTTAATCTCATTTATTATCATAATTATATTGTACCTATATAATAAACACCTATTAATTTGCAGATACTCTTCGCGATGACATTTGATTTTTTTTATCATAAAGTGTTGGTCCCTGATACCGGTTTAAAACGTACTTCCAATACTTCCATTACTGTTTTACAGTTTTACTGTATAATTTATACCTACATTTTGTTAGCTTCAAATTTGATCGTACCTTAATGTATATGCATGTGTTTTAATATTAATATAATTATATTTATTATTATAAATTATAAAATAGAAACATTATATATGTCTTATGTTTACGTATAATTTAAAAAAAAAAATTTTCGTGTTATTTGGAATGTCGTTTCCTTCGCCATTTATATGTACGCGAAGACATTTGAATAAAACGTTAATCAGTACCTAACGGTTTATTTTTAAATTGTAAGCGAAGCTAATAACCTGGCAATAACGTTAATACATTTTTTAGGTCGTATGTTTTTAATATTTTCAGAGAACTATGTATGTTTATAAATATTTAAATAATAAATTTACATCGTGGTACCTAACTTATCGGATAAAATTTTATAATTTTATTCTTGCTAAAACTATGAATTTACATGATATCTTTAATTATATTTGTTAAAAACTTAAAAATTTAATATGAATAATTGTTATTAATGTTTAAAAATAACGGATAATTTAGTAATTAGACACCTCCAAGGGTTGTTTTTTCTTTCTAAACTGTACAACATTGTACTCATATACTATCTTGTATAGCTATTTAACATTATTATTATTATTATTATTATTTTTTTTTTTTTTAAATAACGACAGTTTGCAGTTCTCAGATATTGTCTCTGTCTAAGATTATAAATTATATAAACTAATTATGATGATATATTATTATAGAAATGGTACCTATTTTAAATTCACATTATTATCCATTTATTATAACCATTAATCAATTAACCTTACGTTCACACATATTATTCATATATATATATATTTTATATTATATTTATAATATATATTAATAAAAGGTAATTTGTATGTGTAAGTGATGAACAGCTTAGTATATCGCACCATCAGTTTTTAAATTTGGTTTATAGATAATACTCAAGGATGTGCACTTAGAAGTCAATTTTTTAAATTTTGTAGTTTAAAGAAGGGCTCTCCGAAAACTTAAATTTGTTGTTTGTATAGGGTTGCCATTGGTTATAGAAACTAAAATAGTTATTATAATTGGATATAATTTTAGAACTTTATTTAATATTTGGTTGAAACAAAACAAATAGGTGTGTTAAAAAATGTGTATAGTTTACATTTACGGAGCTTATATGATTYTCGTGTTGATGCTCGGGCAATTAATTGGTCACAGGCAATAACGCCGTACAGCATCAGCAGTACCTAATTACCTATAAGCTATAATATTATTATACTTTTGTACATGTCATGTGACTGATATTTGATTGAATAATAACTTATTCAGAGTTATATAATAATATATTTTATTTTTTTTTGGGGTTTTTTCCGGCCTTCAAGACCATCCCGCAAAACAAATTTCCCTCCAATTTATTCTATCCTCCGCCATTTCTCTCCAGTTTGCTCCTGGATCAACCTCTTTAACATCTTTAACATCTTTCCTCMCACAATCTTCCCATCTTAGGCGTGGTCTACCTAGTGGTCTCTTTCCTTTCGGTTCTTCCCTGATTACYGTGTTAATCATWGCGYMTTTTTTCCTCCAGGCGTRGCCTGCCCACAACAGTCTTCTTTTTTTGATTTCGTTTGAAATACATGGTCTCTGAAACAAGTTCTGTAGTTCTTCATTGGTTCGAATTCTCCACTCTTGGGTTCTTGAGTCGAAACAATAAGGTCCGTATATACGTCTTAACATTTTTCTTTCAAATGTGTCTAGTTTTAATTCCTCTATTTTTCTTGGTGCCCATGTTTCTGACCCATATAGGACGACAGGGTGTATTAATGTCATGTATATCTTTATTTTTAAGTTCAAAGATATTGATCTCGATTTTAACATGGTTCCCACACCAAAATAGCAGTTATTGGCCAGTTGCATTCTTTTGGAAATCTCTACTTTTAACTCATTGTCCTGAGTTAAGAGGACACCTAAGTATTTAAATTGTGGAACTCTTTGGAATACTCGTATAATATGTCCATCTACATTCATACTCTCCCCGTGACAATACGTCCTGTCTTTTCTGTTTAGTTTCATATATTCTGTCTTTTTATCATTTATTCTGAGACCAACTTTATTCGCCRCATCCATCWGTTTTTTACAATGTATTTTTACTATTTCGATATTGTCTCCTAAGATGGCAATATCGTCGGCATATGCTAGCAGACTTATCTTTGACTGTCCTAAAGTTACACCTTCTGATATGTTCATATWATATATTAATAATATATTAAAAATATTAATAATATGCTGAAATCGTCTTTTTATTATAATATTGATCCTGCATGTATACAAATAATGTTGTTTGGTATAGTTGTATGGTTTTATTATTATATTTATATTGTATAGGAATGCAGTATTATGAATAATTGAATACTTATTTCGGTTTACGATTATATCACTTCATTCAAGATTATCAGCAATTAGCCACTATAAAAATATTGTATATCATATTATTCATATTTAATAGTTAAAAAATCAACCTAATACTAATCATAAAGATMTGATAAAGTTACTTTGAAATAATCGTGGTTTGATTTTATAGTTTGAAAATTTTCTTATTTTTTACTGTATTTAAAAATTGATGTATATATCATTGTGTTTGTGACATATACATAATAGTTATGAAATTGCAGATTAAGAATTTAACTTTTTTTTTATGTAAAATTATAAATAATTTTTTTTCAATTATTATATTATATACTATTTATTAATTAGAAGAACCTTGAATAGTTAATATCGAATTTATGTCAATTCTTAATATTTACAGTTCTGATTTTCGTAAATTCCTTGAAAGATGTTTGATCATAATACAATTTCTTGTACCGTTTTACCGGTTGTATAGTATTAACCACATACATTTCAGGAGTAAGTATATTATTTTGCGTTTATATACGAATTATGTGCGTGATGCTCAGCTAGTTTTATCGTCCAAGTAGCTTTTTACTCATAGTAAAGAAATGTTAGTATGGCACGACTGTTGGTACCATACTAAGGAGAAGCTGAATGGCGATTTTATTAACTAGTACACTCCACTAAAACTTAGTGTACCTGAACAAATAATAGATTTTTGGGATTTTCTCAAGTTATTAAATACGGTGGATGCTGTGTAACGTGAGCACTGATTAATTATTACAGTTATATTTGAGCAAAATTTTCTAGTCTCAATTCTAATGTATACTAATAAAGTAATATCTAATAACTAATTAGGTTATTTGGGTTTATAAATATTATGGCTAGCCGTATGTAATGAGGAAAAATGAGTTTGGTCCCTATAACTTGTCCGTATTAGGTGGATTCTACTGCAATATCTTTTTATATTTCTATCATTTTAAAATCATGATGAGACTTAAAAAATATCTAGATATATTATAGTATGAAACATATTTTATAGCAATCTTAACGATACTTCGATAGTTGTTACATTTTGAATATATTGTTTCTATGTGATTATGTTTATAAATTACAATTAAACAGATTTTTTTATTTTATCTATACTGGAGATAGAAAGTGATTTCCAATTTAATTTTCTATACGTAGGTTAACGCTGTCGCATAATA